AAATAAAGTGAGAGAAAATAAGGAAATCAAAGGTCTAGATATTGATGATAAAGGTATTGATCTGAAATTGCTGCAATATGCAGATGACACCTTATTTTATGTATCTGATATAAATTCTTTTGAAAATATTTTAATCGAATTAGAGGTTTTTGGCAAAGTTGCAGGACCGAAGTTAAATAGAGAAAAGACTGTCTTGATTTGGATTGGAACAGCCTGTCAACGATGGTCGCTAACTTGTTTTGGTTTACATTGGACAGATGGGCCAGTAAAATACTTAGGACATCATATCGCACCTGATCTGCAGTGTGCTTTAAAGATTGATTGGAAAATAAATTAGAAAAAATGCAAAAACTGCTAGATAACTGGAGAAAAAGAAACCTGACTTTGTTTGGAAGACTGACTATTATTAAATCTCTTGCAATTAGTCAAGTTATACATTTAATGATTGTTGATACAATACCGTCTACTTTTTTGATAAAACTTAATAGCCTGATATTTAAATTTCTTTGGAAAAGTAAAATTGAAAAGGTAAAACGATGTATTGTTACTGAGGATTATTGTGAAGGAGGAATACGAATGATTGATGTTAAAAGGCAAATGTTTAGTTTTAGGTTGAAGTGGCTTGGGATGTTTTTAGATAATACAACAGGAAATTGGAAAGATATGTGTAAACATTGGTTTGACTGTTTGGGAGGGCTGCATCTACTCCTCAATTGCAATTATACTGATTATACTTTAAATCTCTTAAAACTTAGAAACGTCCCACATTTTTACATAGAAATATTACATGCATGGTACCTCATAAACAAATACACATCCGCTGAATGTCAGACACAGAAGCATATCGACGAAAATATTTTATGGTATAATCAAGATATTGTTTTTGAAAAGAAAATGTTATTTTATGAAGACTGGTATAAAAGTGGTATTATATACTTAAATGATATCTTTAAAGATGGTACTTTTGTTTCAGTAAATGAATTATTTATCCGCCTTAATACTAGAAGAAGTAAACAATTTTGATTTTTGACTATACAAAGCTACAAAAATCAATTCCAAAAATTTGGATAAATGATAAACATAGGGTACCTTTGGTTTTCAAAGACCATAATCTCTCTATCCCCCACTTTGTATTTGGAAAATCAGTTAAGCCTGTTAGTCTTTTGAGTAGTAAACAGTGGTATAATATGATCAGTTTTGAACAAATTAAAATAAATAAATGTTGTTTGTATTGGGAAGATGTCTTGCAGAAGGACGTTAAATGGTCTTCTGTTTTTGATAGGAATTTGATTGGGATAAAAGATTTTCGTCTACGTGAATTTAATTTCAAGCTTTTATATAATATGTTACCAGTCCGTAACAATCTGTTCAAGTGGGGTCTCGCATACGATAACCTTTGTTTAAAATGCAAAAAAAACTGAAGATGTGCTTCATGCTTTCATTTCATGTAAGGCAAATGAAAGGTTCTTTAAGTATTTAAAGGACTTAGTTTTACGTGCTTTCAATCTTAGAATAGAGATAGATATTGTTTTATTACTCAAAATGAATTCGCAAACCGAAATCGATTTGATAATGACTATTGCTTTTTGGTCGATTTATAAAATGATTATTTTTCGTAATAAGTATGGATATGATAATAGAGATTTGAGTTTGATTTACTTATTTAAGAGAGAAATGACTGACAGAATAGAAATAAACGAACATTTGAAAGTACAAAATATGAAATTTCCTGCGAACTTGCTTAGTTATATTTGAGTAAATAACTTGTGTATCATTGATGTTCCATTGATTTGCTAAATTGTAAGCAAAATTATGTTACTGTTTGAATATTGAATAAACACCTCTAAGAGGCAAAGAGAAAAAAAAAATAACGCCTTCGAATCAGTAAATGACGAGAAAAGGCGTCATCAAACTTTTCTTTCAAATGAACTTTGGCATGTTGCAGGGTGCTTGGATCTGTAAGGTCCTATCAGATCGATCTTTGTTTTCTCTGCGACATGTTTCTCCTAGCTTGTAGTCCCATCACTGCAGCATTGGCATCATCTAGATCTGCTGGAGGGATGATGCGCCAATTTTTTCAAAGCCGTTTGTTTTCACTATCAAAGTCAAACCTTACCGACCTATATTAACTGGCACATGGTTGTCTACAGGAGGGTTCAGAACATCTGCAGAATCTCCACCACACAAGTAACCCTGTAGTGAGTTATACTGTAGTGAAGCGAGGGGTTCCTGAATCACAAAAAAGGGGCTACATAACAATAAAAGCACGGTATAAAATTAGAAGTAATTATTTCATGTAAGTTTTAGTTTCTTATGAGCCATCGTGTTATATTGCTCTCTTGAGGCATTGTTCAGTTGTTATTTCCTATATAATCATACCTTTTCGGCGTCGGCTTTATGGACAGATAACCTTACTGATATTGTGGTTCATGTTATCCTTATATGGTACACATACGGCTCCAACAGGGAAATGGTTTTCACGTATTGCGTAATTCTCTGTATACATTTTGCTTTTTCAGCCAGTAAGTTTTTTAATCTCCAAATATGATTCCAAAATCAGAACTCTAGACTAGCTATATGCCCACATATTTCAAATATTCAATCAAGCAAGTTTGTATACTATGTTTCATTTAATGCCCACATAATTATTTATGTTACATACATTTTTTCTGACTCACTCTGTATATTTCACTGTATTGTTTATAGTGGGTTTTCTACACCAAACGAATATTCTCAGCCAAAATATGTGTTCTGAAATGCATAAAAACACTGGTGGGCCCATAACCCTAAAAAGGCTGGGCTATCTGAGGTCTTAATGGGGGGGGGGGGGGGGGGGGGGGGGGGGCAATATTCAGTTTCAGTTTATTTTATTTTAACCATAAAAATGAAATATCTACATACAAATGAGTAACATAGTAAACATAATACGGTAAAGGACACCCTTAGAAGCAAATTGCTTGTGGTGGGGCCTTAAAAAGAAAAACAAACTACCCATAAATTATACAGTTTAAAAACTTTAAATAACATTATACAAACACACATTCACGCTTACAAATATACATACACACATACATAACAAATTTGGTATCAAACTGTGCGGGAGACACGAGGGAAAAAACTCATGAAATTTTAGCGCCAAAGGTTCAGGGGTTTTGATGCAGGGGCAAACATTCGAAAGGGGGGAGGGATTTGTGGCCCCGGCCTTAGTAGGGATTGAAACATAAAATTTGGGGACTTGTGAAAAACCAGTCGGTGACGTGGCATCTTTATTAAGGTGAACGCCATTTCCTTGTTGGAGCAGTCTGTATACCTAACCAGAGGCGGATCTACAAAGGGGTTTAACCCCCCCCCCCCCTTTGTCGGGGGGAAATTATTATTTTTTTTTTGTAGTGCTTTCTTCTGCCCCCCCCCCCAACAACAACAAAAAATATATATATATTGGTCTGCACGATTTTCAAATTTCGGGGGAGCAAATATATAATTTTTTTTAGTGCTCACTATCCCCCGACCCCCCCCCCCCCCCCCCATAAAAAGGATGTACAAAAAGAAGTTGTAATTTGAAAATGTACATACCGGTATGTCAAATGTAAAAAAAAGAATATCAAAATATAGTACAAAATAACTTTGATTCAAGATTCTTTATTTGTTGAATATGACTTTAATATACATATACATTACATGTATATGTTGATAAATACTCATTGTTAATAATTCACCACTGGCCTTGTGTATTACATAGAAAGTCTAATAAATGACAAATACATGATATACAAGCACATAAACTCAAAAAGATATATCTTTCAGAAAGAAAAGTAAGAATAGTTCAGACAATTTCTTCAGATGAACAGAAGTTTTCTGATGTTGTGATAAAAAAACTACCCTAATTAAAAATTAATATATGAAACAAAATATTTCATAAAATAGTTATTTCTGTTTCTGTGATTGAATATAATGAAGAGAGCGAGAGAGAGAGAGAGGGAGAAAGGAGAGATAGAGATAGAGAGTGTGTGCTTGTGCATGTGTGTGTGCGTATGTGGCATTTCATGCATAGGAAAATGAACCAAGGAGAAACTTAAACTTAGGCATGTACCAATATTACAATCATAAATGCAATTTTCATAACTTCATGTGCATATAAATCAGTAATTAACAAATATTTCAGGTTTAAAAAGTGTATATGTAATATAAGTTATCAATCACCATAACCCTCACAACCACTAACTTTTCCTCTAAGCAATTATATAAAATCAGAGCAAAGTTGATAAACAGTGATTCCTCCACAAATGAGATTTAGGCATTTATTATTTATTATAGTCGTTATCTTTGAAACAACATTATCACTTGATTAAACCCACATAACGTACATGACTTAAAATAAAATGTACAATTGAACAATCAGCTTCAAATATATTTCATGGCTACACATATAGCGTTCGAACCGGAAATTAGCCTGGGAAGGTCCGATTTGTATGTGGAGTTCAAAACAGCTTTGCGTTTATCATCTCTCAGAAACGTGATTCTGGCTGTATGTCACATTCGAAACGCACCTTTTTCGGCGTTACAATATGCCCATATCTAAAGACGTTAGAAAAAGGCTTTGCATTTATCACCTTAAAAATTTGCCTAAAAGACGTTTGAAAACACTGATTCTAGGCAAAAATTGGTCAATAAACACACCCCATGATATGTAAGCAAAGTAACCTGTTTAAAAACGGTTAACGGCAAGACATTTTGAGTAAACAAGGTTTGAGTTGAGTTCCTCATACTTGATGGTGACAGTAGTTCTTTGGGATAGCACCTTGAGAGTTCTTAAGATCTATCATCAGTGGGTCCAACTGTTCTTAGTTTGGTCAGTATAAACAGCCTCGTAACTTGATCCAAAACGATTGACAGCAGTAAGAGATTTAGGGTAAACAAGGTTCCTCTTGAGTTCCTCACATTTGTTGATGATAGATAGAATGCAGGTATGTTCGTTCTTTGGGATGGCAGCTTGAGAGTTCTTATGATTGGTTACAAACTCTGGATTCAGTCTTTGATAAGACTTCTTATGATAGATAATGAAGAACTTCTGTAGCTTGCTCCAAAATGATTCCTGAAGAGAGAATGAAAAAATACAATGCTCACATAATAAGGCACGTTCAATGTTACATCAGAGGTAATCCATTATCATCATCATAGTCATCAACATCCTAATATACATTATCATCATCATCATAGTCATTATCATCCTCATAGACATTATCATTATCACCATCATCATCATCCTCAAATATATTATCCTCATCACTATCACCATCACCATCATCATCGTCATCATAGTCATTATCATCATCATAATCATCATCCAAAAAGACATTATCATCATCATCATCACCATGATCATGATGATGATGATCATCATCATAGACATTATCATTATCATCATCATCATCACCATCACCATCACCATCACCATCACCATCACCATCATCATCATCATCATCACTATCCCCATCACCATCATCATCACCATCACCGTCATCATCATCATCGTCACCATCACCATCATCATCATCATCATAATCATCACCATCATCATCATCATCACCATCACCATCATCACCATCATCATCATCACCATCACCATCTTCATCATCATCATCACCATAATCATAGTCATTATCATTATCACCATCATCATCATCATCATCATCACTATCATCATCATCATGGTCATCATCACCATCATCATCATCACCATCATCATCATCATGGTCATCATCACCATCACCGTCATCATCATCACTATCATCAAATAATTAACTTTATAAATCATCATCACTATCATCATCATCATCATCATCATCATCAAATAATTATCTTTATAAATCATCCTTGTCTTCCATCAGAGGGTGACTAACCAGTGGTTCAAGTGGTGGAAGAGTAAGTATAGTTTCTCTCTCTCCTCGAAGCCAGGAGCCTTGGGGATGAGTTTGTGGTAGGCCTTATGGAAGTCTTGGTTGAAAGAGTGAAACATGGCTCCTATAGACAAGTCAAACTCATGGTGGCCATAAAAACTGGCTGGATCAAAAATAACTGCAAATATAACAGAGAAAAATGACATGAAGTAGGAAGGAGATGGGAAAAGGTGTATCAGCATGCTAGAAAGTAAAGCTGTCACGTTTGCCGCTAGAGTACAGAAAAAGGATGCGTCTTATGCCAGTAACTAATATGATCATTCAAAATTTATTATATTTTCTTCATATCTTTGCAAAGATTGAATGAAATATAGTATACAAATTTGCTTGATTGAATATTTGAAATATGTGGGCATATAGCTAGTCTAGAGTTCTGATGTTTGGAATCATGTTTGGAGATAAACTGATTGAAAATGCAAGAGAAATGTCTTTTTGATCAGCAAAATGTATACAGAGAGCGAAATCTATCTGGAAATCATGTTCATCACAAAGCACATTTGCAAATATGTAAAAACCACTTGTTATGCCTCAAACAGGAGATAGGACCAGGAGGATGCACACAGACAGAGACATGGTTGTAGGACCATATATATCCTAACCATACATCATCAATAGTGATCTGTCAGTTTATGACAGGTTCAATGACCCAATAGAGTTCTACTTCAAGTGTCTCTCCAAGTACTTCGGTCTTTAGCCATCTGTTTCAGCATTTCAACCATACATACTTTAACAAAATAAAGCTTGGAGCAAATATCAGATCACCACAGAGATGCCCATGTAGCCACCCGCTATTTACATCTGCGACAATTGCTTGGGGCTGTTATGGTTGGGTTTGGGTTTTAGATTAGGGTTGGGTTTGCTTTAGGGCTAGGTAGAGTGTTGAATCCAGGATTGATGTTAGGTTTTTGGTTAGTGTAGGAAATTGACACAGAGGAAATGTCATGGAAGCAAATGTCATACAACCGCCCATACATCCAATTTTCCTTACCTGGGCAAGATTCAAGCTGGCCTGCGTTACCACCCCATAGATCACCATGCTGCAGTGCAGGAGTGATCTCCAAACCTTCAAACAACTTGGGTATCTTTCTCTCCAGGAGTGGCCACAGTTCTCTTAACTCTTTGTCACTGCTCTTCTCCTGTATCTGGTCTAGCTGCTTCTTCAGGCGGTACTCAGTATAGAAGCGCTGCATTGGAATTTGTACAAGTATTTTGTATGAGATCAATATATTTTTTAAACACAAATAAACAAACTTTTGTCAAATACACAAACAGAAAGAAACAAACAAAACAAAACAAACAAAGTCAAATAATAATGACATCTTTAAAAGTTCTTAGCCGCTTCTTTTGGTGATGCTGGGCAAAGGACATCTTTATTTAAAATATTACGCCAGATCTATGCAAGAGCTTATGCCTCTGTACCGGTATATCATTCATCTTAAGCCTTTACATAAACAACGGTACTGAAAGACATAGGATGTTGGGAGAACACAACTAATAGATTCATGGCTCTTTAAATGGATTAGTGCTGTAGAAAACTTCACTGAAACATATACATAGTAACCACCTTTAAAAGAAAATGCTGCAGCAAAATAAAATGACTTAAGCAGAAAGTATTTCATATTTCTGTATTTTACTACTAAGATAAATGAAGGGACATTTGCTGAGGAAGGCTACTTCTTTTACTCCACAAAGCATAAAAACACAACCACACTCCTCCCACAGTCTTTCTTTCCCCTTCTCATTGGTCTCAATGCCCTCAAATAAGAACCGTTAACGTGACTTTTATAGCAAAATGTGGTGGCATAAAAAAACTTGTCTGGAATGTAAAATGTTGTGACTTATCTAAATGAAAGTTAACCTAACATTAAGCCTCATCAAGATGGTATGTGCATTTACTAGCTCCATATACGAATGATGTGTTTCTACCTCTATGTGACAAAACTATGATTTTCAACAAATATGCAATTTTGGGTTCCAGACGCTTCTTTTCGTGGCACTATGTTTCGCTAAGCTGCTTAAAGAGTCTAGGCCAAAACTCCTGCCATTGTGGCTTGAAGCTCCCTTCCCCTCCCCATCCCTCTCCCCCTCCCCCTCCCCATCCCTCTCCCCCTCACGCTCCCCCTACCCTCACAACCTTTGCCCTTCTCTTACCACCTAATTGTCACACCATGTATTATCAAGAGGAAGGTAACAACAGCAGGTGGTTGTATGAAATCCCCCTCCCCTTCTCTCCCTCCCCCCTCCCCCCTCCCGCTTCCCCTATCCTCACAACCTTTGCCCTTCTCTTACCACCCAATCGTCACACCATGTATTATCAAGAAGAAGGTAACAACAGCAGGTGGTTGTATGAAATCCCCCTCCCCTTCTCTCCCTCCCCCCTCCCCCCTCCCGCTTCCCCTATCCTCACAACCTTTGCCCTTCTCTTACCACCCAATCGTCACACCATGTATTGTCAAGAGGAAGGTAGCCACAGCAGGTGGTTGTATGAAGCTCCCCCTTCCCCCCTCCCCCCCCCCCCCCCCCCCCCCCCCCCCCCCCCCCCCCCCCCCCCCCCCCCGCTCCCTCTACCCTCACAACCTTTGCCCCTCTCTTACCACCCAATCGTCGCACCATGTATTGTCAAGAGGAAGGTAGCCACAGCAGGTGGTGGTATGAAATCCAAACTGACTGACGAATCCTTGGGAGGTATCTGCCCCTACACGCCCTTCTTCTTGCCTGGCTCTCTTACCCTCGTCTAGGTTGTGAAGGTGCAATCTGTATGGGATAGAGTCACAATGCAGCAGGATAAAAAAATAATATGAAAATTGTGATATCGAATTATCAATGTCCGTTTAACCCGACAGCTGAAAGCAGTACATACGAAACATCTTGATAAGAAAACAAGGGTCCTACAGCTCTAAGTGCTTGCTAAACCAAATTAATAATAAATAATGATAGTGGCTTCTTTTACAGCATTTATGTCTGGCAAATTGCCACACCTGGTGCTCCATTAATATTACCCTAGCTTTAGCATGGCTGCCATTGGTTAACATCTATACAAAGCTGGATACTTAAGATAATAGTTAAAAGAGACAGCTACGCACGTCCTTTAATAAGTGTTTATTCTAAGCAGTTTAAAATTTTTATGACAATTAGCATACTTCTCAAGAACATAGAACATGGCCTCAGGATCATACCTTGCTAAGTGTTCACCTAGAGCTGCAGAATGTTTGCTTAGACCTTGAAGATCAAGATGTTCCATGATGAATATGGTTCCCGTTCCTGAAGGATTGTCCAAGACTGGTCCAGGTTTGGGAACCCTGATGGTCTCTGTGGCCTGTATAGCTTCAAGGCTTGCCTTCTCACCATCAAACATCTGCCTTGCCTTCATAAAGGATATCAAGTTACTTATGTTATGGATGCTAATATTGTATAGATGGTGACAATCTAATGGAATTGTTTGTATTTATCATTATATTAAAAAAAAATCAGTTGTGATTGACTTTTCATGTTTTAATGTCATGAAGTATAAATGCAATGAAAATGGAATAGGCTCAAATGTAAAAAAATTGGCTCAGATATTTTGAACCAAAATTTAATGAGCTAAAATACAAAATATAGAATCTGTACTACGTACATACAATAACTATTAATGAGATTGAAAATTGATACATATAGATGTTAATCGTTTGCAGTAGCAGACCAATGAAGTCTGATATGACTTTATTGGTTACAAACATGAAAATTTATGAGATTTCAATCAAATTACCCCACTCTTTCCATTGACTTTGACAAAGAACTTGCCCTTGTCGGTGTCGTAGCTCTGTCCATCGCTGATGCAGCCTCCGGAAGTTGTACCGAATGATTTGACCCTCGTAGCCCCAAGAACATCCTTTAGTATCTTCTCCATCGGGCATCGGCTGTCCTGAGGATTGTTACTAAATTAAACAAAATTCAAATGGTCTGTGATATTCTACTCAAGGAGGCATTAGTATACTTTTTGGGTAGGAAAAACTGTTCAGACGACCTCTATCGATTCTCAAAATGTTCAAACATCACTGTACGAATTACACACAAAAAAAATCGGCATTACATTTACTGAGGACACCTGTAGTGCAGCGGCTTAGCAAGAAAATTGTGCACTTTTTGAGAAAAGCATGAAACTTCCAGCATAGTTTGCTTTCACCATAAGATTTATTTTCAGATGTGGAGGGAAGTCAGATTTGACCTCTGATGACCCTGAGAGGTCAAATCCAAAATGGCCACTTGTCCGCATGGTCTAATGTACAAACACGCTTAACTTTTGAACCAAATACACCAGAAAAACGTTTAAGGTGTCATTTCCAACTAACTTGGGGATGCCAATTCATTTGGTAATACTTTTAAGATCACCTGAACTCAGGGTTTTGCATTTAGGTCAAGGTCAAGGTCAAAATTGACTAAAAATAGCAAGTTTTGAATAGTTACAAAAGGTTAAATCTCATTTATTTGTCATTTGTTCTCAAATTTATTTAGGAATGGTTCACCTGCCGAGTCCTCCACCTTAATCCTTTTCAGTTAGTTTATTTCACAGTTTGATGTGACCTCTGATGACCCTGAGAGGTCAAATCCAAAATGGCAGCCAGTCCGCATGGTCTAATGTATAAACGTGAACTTGAACCAAATAATCTAGAAAAACGTTTAAGGTGTCATTTCCAACTAACTTGGGGATGCCAATTCATTACGTAATACTAAGAGATCGCCAGAACAAAGAGCCCCCGTGAGAAGGCTCACGGGGGCTCTTTTATTACTGACGGGGGCTCTTTTTTATACAAATATCCATTGAATTGGTACCTATGATACTCCTCAATTATTTGCTATTTTTTCATTATCATTTCAATCAGCATTTTCCCTCTTACAAATTTACAAGCTACATAGCTGTTACTGGCCTATGTATATAATATATGTACGCATACAACACTGATCTTTATGATGTCTTTAACGTGACATATCTTCTTCTCCCCTTGCAAACGAAAAAGAAAACAAGGTCATTAAAAGGGATTAAGCGACAAATAATGATTGTGATTCAAATTGATGCGAATATTTGTTTGAATAAGCACTGCTATTCACCCGAATCTTCTTTGTAAAAACAACTTTTACAAATCTCAGCCATGCTTACTGAGTTGAGACGTTCCATTCAATTTGAAATACCCATTACATAATACACTTCTCCTAATCTCAAAGTGATCTTACAGCACAGTGGCAGAATTGCATGGCTGAGATTTGTAAAAGTCATTTTTACAAAGAAGATTCTGGTGAAAAGCATTGCTTATTCAAAAAAATCCTTGCATCAATTTGAATCACAATGATTATTTGTCGCATGGTCCTTTTATTAAATAACCTTGTTTTCTGTTTTGTTTGCAGAGGGAGAAGAAGCTATGTCACGTTAAGAAATCATAAAGATCAGTTGTATTATGCGTATATACATTATGATACCAGAACAAATGTTGATTATCAGAATGTCATTTTGGAATACCTCTATACAAATACCACATTGTCTTTAGCCCGTATCAGTATTAGTATGATCCAATATAAAGCTATTATTCTTTATTTAATTCAGTATAATGCTTTTCCTCAAAAATAGTTTTGCTATTTTTTTAGGGTTGAGACGCTAAGAAATGGTTTCAAATGTACATTACACGAACCCTGAACCATTGCAAAATGATGGTGGTTCTCTCTCTCTCTCTCTCTCTCTTTATTTTAATCATCCATTATCAACTACATATAAAGCAGCAACCAAAAACTTAGGATTATCTGAGATAGGTGAAAGTAAGAGTTAAAAAGAAAGTCATGCTAAAACGGCGCTTCACTTCCCCCCGCCCCCTGAAAAAAAAAAAATAGATTAGTAGTCCTCCTCTCCAGCATCCCCCTCCCCCTCAGTGCAATGAACAGGCCCTGTACAGCCTCTGTACAGAAATGGATGACATAAGCTCCATTGAAAATGAAATCTAGAGACACAACTCGATAGGATCCATACACATTTTCCAACATGTGGGACTGAATAAAAAAAGTGGGCGACTCATCAACATTCTTGTTGTGTTCAATCCAAATAGTTAAAAAGCAAAGTTTGTCAACAAACATACTAAATACATAACACTAAAATGATGCTGAATTTTCTATACTTTTCCCGGTAATTTTCACAGCGTTGACATCACACGTACGGTGAACTACCAGCCGAAACACCTATCGACCGGTACAAGATCGCAAGTGAGATGTTGTGATTACCAGTGCATACGTCCGCGCGTTCAAGGGAATTTCCCTAATGAGGTTTCAAACCAAAACTGTTGGTGATTCATTTGGGAATTAATGGCATTTAGAATAAGAAGGCCCATGAGCCCGAATTACGTACGTACTAGCCTACAAGGTGAGGGTATGACCTAAAAGTCACATCCCCTTCTAGCTGGATGGGGTGGGAGGGGAGGGAGAGGGGGGGGGGGTTAGGGGCAAAGAGCAGTGCATTACCGTAAAACTTACTATTATGAAAGATTTCTGAAATCCCGACCGTATGTGTTGGACTTTTTGTTTGAAATTTATCTGCCCAGGTAACCAACCTGTCGCGTTAGGACACACTATAGGCGGAGGAGCGTCTTCCAAAGCGGGGAGGGGAGACCAACAAAAAGGGACAGCTAAAAAGGATAGGCGCTATAACGGTATAACCACACAGCGGGAAAATACAATTCTAAGTCATTGAAAAATGTATCACTACATTCTGATTAATTTGTTAACAAGGGTCATATGTTTCTTTCCTTACCTGGAACTTGATAGGCCTACCTGCTTTCGCATAAATCATAAATACTAGCAAGTGTAGAGCAAGCTTTTGAGAAAACAAAATATTGCTCTCATTGGGGGCGAATATTAAACGCTCTTGGGAAGGGGAGAGCGTTGCAAAACATTTGTTTATTATAAATGGTGAGGCTGTAATAAAATACCCTTTTTTCAACATGACTGAAATATAATTTGGGTAATGTGCTTTGCAGGTGCTTGACATTTTAAAGATCTCGATAGATTTGATTGGAGGCATATGCATTTATCACATTTGAAGAAGGACAATAATTCGCTTGAAATTGAGTTTGTTAGAGGCGAAGAGTCTGGGCACTTATCTGAAGGGGGCTTGAATGGGCACTCATTACCGAGAAAGAGGGCATTAGTCAGGAATTGAATAGGGACACCCAGTAGCGGATCCAGGGAGGGGGCCTAGGGGGCCCGGCCCCCCTGGAAAAAAATGTGTATAAACACATGATTTTTACCTTTTTGGCGCCCATGGGGGGGGGGGGGGTGCAAATTTTTAAATTTTCGAGGGCCAAAAAAAATAAAATTGCTCACTACCCCCACTACTTAGTGAATCAAATTTGAATTTGAAATCAACAAGGCCATGAATCCTTTTATTCGGAGGAAATCATCCGATTGTAAAATTGCACAGCCATTCCTGGATATATAATATTTAATGACAATAATAAGCATGGGATCCAACTCAATGAAGTCTATAAAATCAATAACCGTCAACAAATTGAGGAATCTGAAAAAAAATCTAGAAAAAGCCCATAGAGAGAGAGGGGGGGGGGAGAGAAAGATATCTCTTCTTCTTCTTCTTTTTTGTATTCTTCTTCTTCTGGCATCATCATCTTTTAGACCTGGGGGAGGGGGGGTATTCACATATATAATGGGTCACTTTTTTACACACAAAATCCCTAAACAGGGTCCACTTGTTCAAAATTTTCCAAAATTTCGTGTTTGCATGGCGAACACCTGAAAATTGTGAAAAATGGGCTTTACGTATTTGGAGAAAAATTACCCATTAAAATGGTTAGGGGTTTGGAGGCTTGAGCGACACACCCCCGTCCAAACCAAATCTGAGTACCCCCCCCCCCCCCCCCCCCCCCCCGCATTTAGAATCTTATTCAGAAACGGCAGAAACCGTTCATCTTGTCCTATATTCCAAATCTCAGCACAGTTTGCATGTTTTTGTTGAAGTTTGTAACGTATGTACGGGCAATAGAGAATAATTTGGTATATTTTTCGGGACAATTATGATTCTTGAAGTTGCACAACTCTTAATACACGTAGTCTTAATTTTCAGAATTATTTGGAAACAGGAATTTTGGGGGTGGAGCTCGATATAACATTCATTGCTAATAATATATAATGATAATACGAAAAATGTAAATGGTATTGTCTTCAATAGAAATATAGATATAAAACTAATCAACAAGACCTTTCTTTTTCAATGATGGTGAAGTATTTTCTCACAAAATGGTACCGGGTCTAAACAATTATAGAGCCTACACGTATACAAAATTGTACGCGGTTGATCGTACATCTTCACATGCAAGATATCTGGAGAAAACAAGCACACACTTCCGTCAACTGGTGAATGGCCAATTTAGCAACTTGTCACAAACTAAAGATGAAATCGCATTTGTCTACATTAGTTTCTCTATGTTGTTTTGTTTTTATTTTTTTGAATGATAACGCTGAAACACATGTATTAAAGGGTTACCGTATTAAAGTATTAAAAACTGAGAAATATCAGCCAAAAGAGGGCGGGAAAACAAACCCCAAAAAACAACAAAAACATTCAAATTTGAAAAATATCGGCCCAAAGAGGGCGACAAAAAAAACAAACTTTTCTGACCGACCGGCCCATGTTTTGGCACCCAAAGGGCAATACAACAAGTTTTTATTTTAGGCCTAATGCAGGGTTTGGGGCGGGCCGTACACTACCAACGGAGCCTCATCCATCTTGATCGAGTTCAAGGATTTATAGGCAGTAAACATTAATTCTTAAAAACAAAAATTTTGCAGATGATAAAGACCAATATTTATCAAGTTATTTAGTGAGTGCAACCACGGTTAATACTGACAGTCAAAGTCAAAGATAATGATGTATGAGAAATTGGTCGTGATCATCTTTAATTAAGCCCACAACAGTACTATATAGCACACCCCTTACAGTGACTATTGGAAATCTGAACAAGCATTGTAATCGTGATTTAGCCTCTAAATAATAACGGGAATTATCTGGCGGCCGCCAGATGAAACATAGTACAGGAGCGGTACAGATATAGCCCGAAGTTTAGGATTACCCAGCGGGACAATTATTATCCCCAAGCATAATTCACACGGTGGCACTATAGTTGGCTTCCGTATAGCCTACTTGATTTTAATTTGATTGTTCCAGTCATTAAATGCTGTTGCATACCGGTATTCTTTCCAAATTGAATCGTAGTCGGGTAGGTCGATCAGGGGAAGAAGGGTGGGCGGTTGTTGTTGGGGGGGGGGGGGGGGGTCACGTTTTGCTGGACAGATCACAGCACAGTACGTGTGGACCAGTTTAGTAAAAGCTTTTTGAAGACCCGTCTTGCCTTGTTAGAAAGTATGGGTAATAGTATTGTTATATTTTGAGGCGCCCAAGCGGCCCAATTGTTGTCGTTGAGGGGATAAATTTTCGTGAAGCGGCACACCACAATATGCTTTGGATTTGTAATGGAATATTTTGATTATGATCGAGGGATCAAGCACATTTTTTTTTGTCCCGAAATTTGACAATTTGACCGATCGACATTTTGTTCCGTGGGGGGGGGGGGGGGGGGGGGGGGTTAAGATCAACTTTTAGGTCACCCATTAGCATAATTTTTTTAATAATTTTTTTAATAATTTTATTAAAAACACACACACACACAAACAAAATTTGAGAAGGGGGGGTCGTTCGACCCCCCCCCCCCCCCCCCCCTGCGTACGTACGCGCCTGATCTGTGTATAAATATACCCTGGTAATCTTGGAAAAAATAGCAAAAAAGTCCGGAAGAGAAACTCGCTACTGACACAATATTGTCGCCCAACGTGCTTTATTTTCATACAGATCACTAAATGATTAGTACTTCCGCCACACGTACAAGTACATGCCAACTTGCACATTTTGTGAACCAATCGCCGCCTTCATATATCTGTGCCGGTGCCTGAAGCAGAACCACTGCTGAACAGACGATCCCGTCAGAAAATCTCCGATGTTAACTAATTTTAAATAACTTTCATCAATCACAAGTCCAGAGTTATTCGAAGTAACAGACAGATATATCGTATAAAAGTCAAAACTCTTGAGGCTGATCGATTTTACCGCAACAACTGTCAATATGTCAGGAAGAGTGAGAAGGCGAGAGTCGGCAAATCCCACGGATTCTGCCACCATTTCCCTGAACGAAAAAATCCTGAAAGAGTGCAACACGCTGTACACGGATGAGGAAAGAGGTTTGTAGGCCTATCAATATTTTTTAGGAATGCGAAAAAGGAATAGATCTAGAGGGGCCTACCTTGCGTTTGACCCTGTGATTCACTGATTGATCCCTTCAAATTAAGGCTAGATATCTAGTCTAGATGATAGATCTAGACCTAGGCCTATAAATTGAGTCCACATTAAATTGAAAACTAAAATTAAAAAATGACCATGTCTAATGAGGCATGACTAATCTTCCAAAGTCTAGACTGACCATAGTCTAGAGCTAGAGTCTAGACATGAAGACATCAAAAAAAAACTTGTTTGAATCTTAGAAGTTGGAAGTTTGGTTTCAGAATTAGGTCAATTGATTCCATTTTGTGACTTCAATGTGCTGTTTCTTTCGTTTGTTAAGCCTCTTATTTGGGTAGGGTCGGCTCTCTCTTTAGAGACGGAAGCCGACTAGAGTCTATACGCATTCCCTTGCTAACACCAAGGTCCCCCCTCCGATCTTTGCCACTTTCCTGAAGTGAGCCCCCCAGGCTTATGCAGGGCTAGACGTAAGGATAATATCCATGTGCTTATTTTTTGCTAGTCCCAAGTGATCACAAGCGACATCAATTTGAAACTACCCTTCCCCCCCATTTTGGGGATCAGCTACAAATGTAAATAGGGAGGCGTGAGCTCCGCTCAGTCCAAACCATGGTGACAACGTGTAAAATCTGCACATGCATTTTGCATTCGGTCCTCGCATGTGGATGCACGTTGTAGACAATGGAGGTAAGGCTTGCCTATCGCGCTCAAGTTGCGCATTCAGCAAAGCAACATGCGTACGCCAGTAGGGGCGCTGGTCCGAGAATAAGGATCGTCTTCATAAACGAGGATCGTCTTCTTTAACACAGACAGATGCGTCCTCAAAAATAAGGACCGTCTGCATTTTCGCAGACGTTTCATATTTTTGATCGGCGCATTGGCGATGCCAAAAACGGATTCTGCAATGATTTTCTTGATGCATTTTACATTGACTTTGTACAGAGACCTTCACATTATGAGCAATAAATCCTTGGGAAGACGGACAACCCATAAAAGTAGACGGTGAATTAGGGTTATATTTCCCCGGGGAATCCATTTTTGGCATCGCCAGCGGGCCGCTCTGTAACATGAAACCCCCAGAGCGCCGATGAAAAAAAACGTCCTCGAAAATGCAGACGACCCTTATTTTTGAGGACGCATATTGTCCTCGTTTATGAGGATATCCTTGTTTATGAGGACGATCCTCATTCTCGGACCAGCGCCCCTACTGTACGCCACGTCATATGCTGCGTCATATTCTTGTGTGCGCTCTAACTGCCACATTCCTTGACGGACTTCTTTCAAATTTTGTATGAAGGTGTATCTTGGTATAATCTACACACCTATATTGCCCCCAGTGTTACGTCTTCTTTAGGGTAAAAGGCTAATATTTCGTGGTTGGTTTGTGTGTGCTCTATAGGCCATATTTCTCAAGGAATTTTGTTCGAATTTTCAATGAAGGTGTAGCAAAAAGCGAGACATAGGCGCCGCTTTTCTGGTGACGGTGGTGCGGCAACTGCGGCGGCGTCAACATCAAAAACTTAAACTCGGGTTAAGTTTTTGAATTTTTAGTATAATTTTGAAAGTATAAGCTAATTCAATAAAACTTAGACTAAAGGGTTATCAAGTATCCCCAATCATGTGAGTAGAATTTCAGGTCACTAAGTTAAAGATAAAGACCAGTTATGGTTGTGAAATCGATCAGAAAAGGTTGATCATCTAGCATATAAGTATTGGTGTGTACTGCAAGGTTCTGGAATCATCAAAATGATAAGAAATTTGGCCCAGTCTTCGTAAAGTTACAAGCACTGTACACAGAAAGATGTATATGGGACTATACGCACATGTGCACGACACATGCGTTTTTCTCTCACATACCAATAGATAAACTAATTTACCAAATATATCGATTAGTAGGTGGTTTCCCTGCAAAAGTTTTATCGTCATGTATTAGTCAAAACATATTTTATTTCATATTTCTCGGTAACGAGAATACATGAGAGCCCGCCCGCAACGCTACAATCAATACGTTCGTCGCGCTTACATCGTATGATATACGAAATCTTCGAGCTGCAAAAATCTGTTTATATTTTTGCAATCCTTCGTTTCCGGCAGAGTTTTTTGCCGAAATCCACTCGTAGAAAAGTTTCTGACACTTTTGAAACGGGTTTTGTTCTAAAATGGACAAATCTTGGGACTCTAAAAACAATTTTGAAATCCCATCTTCTGCTCGGTGCCTGCCGGGCACGAGCAAGTCACCATCGGAACCTGCAATCACGGGGACGGGTACTAACCCGCAGGCAGCCGGGACTATAATGCCTACCTTACCCGGTGCTTCTCCCCCGACGAGTAAGGCAAAGCCGAGCTCGGGCATCGCTGTGGGTACTCCCAAATGCAAAATTAGTAGCAAGGCATAGCCGAGCGAGCAAGAAAATACTAAATCGTCTAAGACGAAAGTCAAATCCTCTGACAATAAATATGTTGGTAAGGCTAAGCCGAACCGCGAGTTTGACAACACGAGCAAGGCTAAGCCGCGCTCGGACTCAAAATCGAAGTCTGTGGATTCACGCATTGATAAGCTGGAAGACATGCTTTCTGTGTTAATGGAGAGAATCCCTGCCCCGGCACAGCCGGCTCTGGCCCCACAGACATTCTCCTCTCCGGTTGATAAAAACACGGAGCCCCTCTCGGTAGGAAGATTGACCTCGGGGGAAGGCCTTTTGGCCGATGGTTTTTATGATGGAAGTGAATCGCCAGGTAGCGAACTTCTTTATGATACCGACGATGTCGGAAGCATGGGCAGAGCTGTTGGTAGTGTGCCTACTACTGCCGGCAAGGGACAAGATTCAATTCCCATGATCGCCGCAAAATTTGCCATGCCCTCGGGGATTGGTGCCCCCTTACATGACGACATAGCTCAATCTATGACTTATTTGATGAGCAACAAACTGGAAGAAAAATCTCTGGATGAGGCGGCTGAGAAATATCTTTCCCCCGAAAACTGTGAATTGCTTGACACTCCAAGAGTGAACACAATTATTTGGGAAAACTTGCGTTCAGCAACTAGAAATAAAGATCTGAAAATTCAGTACATCCAGAAGTCATTAACCAAAGGCTTGTGTGCTTTCGCACGATCTCTGAACCCGGCTACGATGACCGAGGAGCAGCATGATGCATTGGCGCTGCTATGTAATGCCAATTACGGCCTAAATTCCATGAGGAAGAATTTGATCAAACCGGATCTCAACCCTCTTTTTCATCATCTGTGCCGGCCAACTTACCCAGTTACCAAACACTTGTTTGGCGAGGATCTGGGGCGCCAGGTTAAAGAACTGCAAGAACAGCAAAAAGCCACGGCAGGTGTTATGAACACGAGAAACCAGCCTCAAGACAGGCATCAACGCTCATATCATCCTTATCGCAAGGTTACAGACTATGCCAAGCACACCATGAAACGAGCTGGCTGGTTCCCCAATCGAGATCAAGGCAATTCGTCATCCCGTATGTATGGGAACTCAGAGCGCCCTTTTTTAGGGCAGCGCCAGAATTCCAACTTCAAGAAAGGGAATTCAAAACAACAGGCATCACACACCTACACCCCAACAGCAGCCAACAGGGGCAAACAATCGTACCATCGCAAGAAGTAGTCGAGGGAAATTCCCCTTCAGGCTCAAGCACTCAAGAGGTTAGTGTTTGTAATGAAGCCGTGTCTGATATGGTCGGAGGTCGACTGAAGCCATTTTATGAAAATTGGTGCAAAATTACTTCAGATCCATTCTTACTTCAAGCTATTCAAGGCTACAAACTGGAATTTGATCCAGACAAATTCCCCCCCATACAAGACAAGCCCCTCCACACTTACAAGCGAAATGCTATGGAGATGGCTAAGATCCATGAGGAGTTGAATACTCTAGAAAATAAAAACGTCATTGAGCGTTGCTCACACGTCAATGGTGAATTCATTTCACACATTTTCACAAGACCAAAAAAGAATGGAGGAGTTAGACTAATTCTGGATTTGTCCAAACTTAATAAATACATTACTTATTACCATTTCAAAATGGACAACATTTTCACTGCTGTCTCCCTCTTGTCTGAGGGAGACTTCATGGCTTCAGTCGACCTTCGCGATGCATACTACACGGTACCCATTCATACAGAATCTAGAAAGTACCTTCGCTTTGTGTGGCAGGGACAATTATGGCAATTTAAAACCCTGCCAAATGGGCTTAGCTCTGCCCCCAGGCTATTTACTAAGCTTCTCAAACCTGTGTTTGCCTGTCTTAGACAATCCAAACACAAAGTTGTTGGATATTTGGATGACACTATAATTATTGGTAAAACCAAGTCTAGAACACTAGAATCCGTGACAGCTACTACAATGTTACTGAGTAGACTGGGATTCATAATTCATCCAATAAAGTCGGTGCTTGAACCGACTCAAGAAATTGAATTTCTTGGATTCAGACTTAATACAATTAGAATGGAAATTACACTGCCTGTTAACAAAGGCAAAGACGTAAGAGAGGCATGCATTGGGTTGCTAGAGAAGAAAGCCCCCTCCATAAGGGAAGTTGCGAAGATAATTGGGAAAATAGTAGCAACATTTCCAGCTTCTCAGTATGGGCCACTGCATTACAGGGCACTAGAGAAAAAGAAAATAGCAGCATTAAGGTGCAATAAAGGGCACTTTGACAGGCCCATGGTACTTTCACCTAAATCTAAAGATGAAATAAACTGGTGGGTTTCAAATGTTACTTCAGTTAAGTGCCCTATGCATCATGGGAAATTCATGATGGAATTGCGCACCGATGCCAGTGGAAAAGGCTGGGGTGCTACAGATCTAAAATCACAAACAGGGGGCAGATGGAACAGCCAAGAATTAGCTAGGGCTCACAATAATGAAATAAATTATCTTGAGACCCTTGCAGCAGGCCTCGGGTTGAAAGCTTACTGTTCTAACATGAGAAATACACATGTTCTGATTAGGCTTGACAATATGACAGCAACTGCGTACCTCAATAATATGGGAGGTATTAGATCACACTCCTGCAATGAAATTGCCAGTCAAATTTGGGAGTGGTGTAAGGATAGAAATATTTGGTTAACGGCTGCTCATCTCCCAGGTACTCTAAACGTCGAAGCAGACCGCATGTCTAGGAAATTTAATGACAACATTGAATGGATGCTCGATAGGGCTATGTTCAAGTCAATAGTGGGTAGATATGGTCTGCCAGAGGTAGATTTGTTTGCAACTAGACTCAACGCTCAGCTACCAAAGTATATTTCGTGGATGCCAGACCCTAATGCTTGGGCAGTGGATGCATTCACCGTAGACTGGGGTACTCTCAATTTTTATGCCTTCCCACCTTTCAACATAATTCCAAGGTGCCTACAGAAGATTAAAGTAGACAATGCACGAGGCTTATTGGTGGTACCAAACTGGCCTACACAAGCCTGGTTCCCCATTCTTGAAGAAATGTTGCTTGAAGAGCCCATGCTTTTGCCATGGAACATTTCACTTCTCACTCAGCCAGTGTCTGGCAGTCCTCACCCTCTCACTAATCTTGATCTCCTTTGTTGCAGGCTTGGCGTGCACACTGTGACCTACATGGATTAACAGAGAGAACTACAGACATTATTGGTGCATCATGGAGAGAATCAACAAAGAAACAATACAACATTTACATCTCCAAGTGGAAAATTTTCTGCGAACAGCACAAACTTCCATGGATGCAGGCTAAAGCTAAGGATATTTTAGAGTTTTTCAGTGACCTTTTTTACAGACATAATGCTAGCTATAGTGCTATCAATACAGCAAGGAGTGCCCTGGCATCAGTCATGAGTTTGGATGATAGCAACTATACGATTGGTTCACATCCTATCATAAGCAAGTACATGAAAGGTGTTTTCCAGCTAAGAACTCCAACCCCACGCTATGCTCAGGTTTGGGACGTCAGTATTGTATTGGATTACCTTCGTCTTCAACCAGCTAATGATAAGCTTCCTTTGTGTAAATTGACTCAAAAATTGAGCATGTTACTTGCGCTTACTTCAGCACAAAGAGTACAAACTCTTTGGAACCTTAATTTGGACAAGATGTGTTTGAAGACGGACTCGGTGGAATTCCACGTTGATAGCCTGCTTAAGCAGAGTAAACCAGGAAATGTTGGTATAATGGTGAAGATATCAGCATTCCCAGAGGATGAACGGCTTTGTGCCGTACATTGCATTGAACAATATATAAAACTGACAAAAGAAATAAGGAAGTCAGAGAGACACCTGTTCATCTCGTTTCGGAAGCCACACAAAAGGGCATCCTCGCAAACAATTTCGAGATGGATCAGAGTTGTGATGAAAATTTCTGGCATCGATACGGACCAGTATAAGTCTCACTCTACAAGGGCAGCATCTACTTCAATAGCCAAGAAGATGCACATCCCAATGGATGTGATTCTCAAGCATGCCGGTTGGGCCAATGAGAAAACTTTTGAAAAATACTACAACAAACCAGTGAATACGGGACATTCTACTTTCACTCAAGCAGTCCTACATCACTGATTCTGATTTCTACCAGGACCAGGTTAGCTATTCCTGATATTTGTTGACAAAGTATTGTCGCATATGTGACTACTGAGCTTTGAAGTCTCATGTATTCTCGTTACCGAGAAATATGAAATAAAATAGGAGGATTAAACGAGAACTTACAGTTTGAAGTTTGATCCTTATTTTATGAGTATTAGGAGGTTAGAGAATACATGCCCTACCTCTCCCTCCCTTGCTCAGGATCATTAGTATGTTCTCATCAGTCCTATTTTATTTATTTTATTTGTTCATCAGTAGTCACAGTTGCTTTGAAGATTGATTGTAGCGTTGCGGGCGGGCTCTCATGTATTCTCTAACCTCCTAATACTCATAAAATAAGGATCAAACTTCAAACTGTAAGTTCTCGTTTAATCCTCCTATTCTTTCACATGATTGGTAAATAAGAGCTTCCATTTCATTTTTTGAAATTGGGGCGTTTCCAAAACTGGTCTTTACCTTTAAGGTCAAAGGTAACCCTGTAAACAATCATCGGATCGGATGCCGATACCGATCCGATCAGGGGTGATCGGATAATAATTTCCGATCGCCGATCAATTAAATTGACCGGAAAAAAATCAGCAGATTTTTTATTTTTTTAAATTTATTTTGCATACCTACATTATAATCCAAGATGGCGGCTCGCATGTTTTACCTCTGCTCTTAGACCAATATTATTAATTTCAAAGTCGTGAAAAGGCACTAAATATCAACAAACATGGTCTACAACAACTCCAAATGACAAAATAATCCCAGCCATGAATTTTTTTTTGAGCATTTGACAGCCAAAAACTTTAAAACTTTTGTCATTTAAAAAAAATTTAAAAAATACCAACATTATAATCCAAGATGGCGGCCCGCATGTTTTGCCTCTGCTCTTAGACCAATATTATTAATTTCAAAGTCATGAAAAGGCACTAAATATTAACAAACATGGTCTCCAACAACTCCAAATGACAAAATAATCCCAGCCATGAATTTTTTTTGAGCATTTGATAGCCAAAAACTTGAAAATTTTTGTCATTAAAAAAAAAAAAAACAGCCAATTTTTTGGTCGATCTGCCGATCCGATACCGATCAAACGTGTGAGGGTGTCGCTCCGATCTTCCGATCCGATCGGAGCCCCAACTTACAGGGTTAGTCAAAGGTCATTTCAGGTCAACAAACTTAGACTTCTTTCACAGTACCATGTCAATGAATGTTTTTTATATTTATATGGTTAAAAGTACACATTCCTATTCCATGAAACTTGAACATAGGGGTTATGAAGTATCATCAATCTTGTGATTAGTCTTTTAGGTGACAAAGTCAAGATCAAATGTAATTTAAGGTCTGCAAACTAAGACTTTGTTGTGGTATCAACATCAAGATTTTGAATTTTTAGCATAATTTCAAAAGCGTGTGTTCAAATTCCATGAAACTTGTACACAATGGTTATCAAGTATCAGAAATCATATGACGCAAATTCTAGGTCACAAAGTGTAGGTCAAAGGTCATTTTAGGTCAGTAGACTTGGATTATGTTTTCACAACTTAATACCGGTAAATCAGTTTTTATTATTTGTTCATATTCCAATAAATTCATCAATTTTGGTACAAATTATAATAGTAAATAATTCTGCTTATGATTCTTAGCCAATATTCACTTCAAAAGCTGATTATATTCAGAGGATTTCATTTTTTTTTGGGGGGGGGGGAGGGACCTACTAATGGGCCACTCTGCCGATAAATTATGTCCCAACCTCAATTTGTCATCATTCAAATTGCGTAATGCAGGCGAGACCGCAGAGAGCGTTTCCCTTGTTTAAAGTAGAGTTTTCACAAGAAAATCAGACAGTCATTTAAAAAACAGTACATAGTATGACTATAATACAGTTCTTGCATCAAATCAATGCATTAAAACTTCTTTATTTGACTAGATAAATCAAATTGCTTTCTTTTTGAATGGGTAAATATGAAGTAGGATGCCCGGAACCTTTATAAACAAATATACACTGTCAAGAGAGGTTCTCGTGGAAACTATTTGCAAGAGGTAAATCCAATTGTACTATTTTTTATAAATTAAAAAGAAAAAAGTGAAACATTAAATGTTAATGAAAATTATTGAATTTATTAAAATTGAAACAAATTGTCAAAATGTTTTAAAATTTTTCAATTTTAATTTTAAACTTTAAAAAAAATTATCAATTTTGTTTTCCAACTCCCAAATACTACTCTTTCAGAGGAACCTTGAAGTGGTTGAAATATTTTTGGTCATGTGAAGAGCTCTCAACCAATCAAAAACCAATACATTTTTAATGCAGGATATAATCAAAGATATTAGCCAGTAAGACTAGTAAATAAACTCAACAAATAAATGAAAAAAGTAGCCC